AGTGAGAGAGATATATAGAAATAGAGCGAGAGAGAGAGAGAGAGAGAGAGAGAGAGAGAGAGAGAGAGAGAGAGAGAGAGAGAGAGAGAATGAGAATAGAGCGAACCAAGATTTTCGTAACCCGACCGCTCTGCTAGATGCACTAATATTTTACGACAGACGACTAGTCTAACAAACATCGAGAGAGGAAAACACGAGGAAGGAATTATGCAACCGTAAAGCCAACCCTAATCATTGCTGCTCACTCGCCCCACTCATCACTCCCACAGTCCCACTCACTGATCCTCATCCGCATCCCCAACATCCTTCTTTTCTTCCTGTTCTCTCCTCTCCGTTGCCGCCGCCAACAAGAAACAGCACAACAAACAACAACAACAACAACAACAACAACAACGACGACGACGACGACGACGACGACGACGACGACGACGACGACTCTCTGTGGCATAAAGCCCGAGGTACCGCACGCATAGGCGCAAAGACTCGTGCACAGTCACAGCGTCAGGATGCCGGTGTTGCCGCGAGGGCATTGCGTTTGTACAAGCACGTGCAGCCGAGCTCCTTATGTGCGTGCGCGTATGCGTGTACATACACGCGGTTGTGTACATTCCGCCTGCGTAAAACAGGTGCACGCGAGTGAACGCGTGCATGTGTACGCATGCGTGTATGTGCGAGCATACGTGTACGTGCACGCACACGAACACGTGTACACGCACGCGTATATACGCACGCACGCGTGTACGTGCGCGCACGCGTGTACTTGTACGCATGCGTATATGTGCGCGTGTACGTGCACGCACGCGTGTATATGCACGTACACGTGTATGCGCGTATACTTGCACGCGTGCGGTCACGTTCATCTGTGTACGGCAGATACACTCACGTACACCTGTTGTACACGGGGGGGGGAGGTATAAGCGTGCGCGCACGTACACGCGCACGTGCACATGAGGAGGAGGTCGGCAGCACGAGCATAAACAAATCCAATCGGCAACCCCTCCGGTAAACCACTGCCCTCGTGGCATCCTGACTCTGTGACTGTGCACGACTCTTTGCGCCTGTACATGCGGTACCTCGCGAATTTATACATGCAATATAATGCGTATACGTATCCATCGCCCCACACGTACGCTCGCGGTCGACGCTGACCACTCGATCGAGTTGGCCAACTCACAGTCGTCAGTGTAAACACATGGCACGGTTCATAGAACGGTTGATAGAGCGTTGGGAAGTTTTGTTGGTCCAATTCGGCAATTCGACAACTCAAAGTTGGCAGTGTAAACCCAGTTTGTCTCAGTTAAAGAATTGTGTTTTACGACTATTTTACAGATATATCAACCGAAGTGACGTATACCATATCCCTCTCTCGTTGTCGCATCGCAAGGAGAACAAGACAGAAGCGCCATACTGGAATCTCGACATGCCTACTACAACCATGTACACGCAAGAGGCGAAGGAAAAAGATGAAAAGCTCATTCTCGACTTGAAGCTATTAGACCAAGTAAAACATACAAACAATTTAATCCTGTTAATTTTATGATGGTAATCAATGCTGGATGTACAACCCAGAGGATAAATCGACAGAGAATGACCAAGTGAGAGGGAGGGAGAAAAAAGGGAAGAGAGAGAGAGAGAGAGAGAGAGAGAGCAAAAGCATGCATGTGCTCAAATGAGAGACCGAGAGTATGCGCATTCATGCGTGCGTGCGTGCGTGCACGTGTGTGCGTGCGTGAGATAGGGGCGCCGGTAAATAATAATTATGTGGCGGAGTGTACGTGATTAGTATACATGGAACTGGATTTCTGGAACGGAAACTTTCTGCTCGTCGAGCTTTAACGTTCCGTACAGGTTTAATTTCAATTTGTAATCTTCAGTCACTTAATGATATTGAGAGTAAAATATATCATTAACATATCGCGGA